GTTCGGGTTCTGCACCGGAGCCACAGTTTTGCTTTATTGTAAACCTAGACTGAGGTCGTGATTCATTAATTTAGCTTGGGTGAACTGCAGATAAATGAAAACCCGTTGCTGTTACAGGAACTCCTGGGAAGTATGATGTGTCTGCTAATTATTTTAAATATTTCAAGCTTAACCCCTGATGATGTCAGTCAATGGCCAGGTAACCAAGATAGGATCTCTGGTGTCTCATTTTTGCAGAGATGGAGGAGATGTGCCCAGAAAACGCATACGCCTCATGTCAAGAGATGGGGAGGAAAGGTGGTAATTAGCATGGCAGCTGCACTCAGTGTGTGGAATGTTGAGAAATGACTTGAACTTCAGTAAATGAAATTAAGCAAAATTTTTCTTACTCAGCTATTTTATTCTGAACTATTTTTCTTCCAGACGCCTACCCGTAATGATTCCACCATCTGCAACAACCTCTGTCGGCGATGCTGCGCTCCTGCCAAGCTTGCCTTCTCAGGAAATCTGGAGGTCACAAGTTCCAGGCTATTCTGGATCGGTCACGCAGCACCTAAGTCATCGGGCCAATAACTTCAAGAGACACCCAAAAAGGAGAAAACACATCCGCCCTTCACCACCACCACCGCCAAATACTCCGTGTCCTATTGATTTGATTGACTTTGGGGATCTCCAGCCTCAGAGGTCTTTCCTAGAACTCCTCTTTAATGGGTGTGTTCTCTTTGGGCTGGAGTTCAGCTATGCCATGGAAACAGCCTATGTTACCCCGGTGCTGCTTCAGATGGGGCTTCCAGACCAACTGTACGGAATGGTGTGGTTCATCAGCCCTATACTAGGTAATGTTTCTTAACGCTATTTCTTCCTTCTTTTTTTTTTTTTCCCCACTATGCGGGGGTTATATGTTGTTGTTTTTTAGCATAAATATATTTTAAGTGTATTTTGCGTGCTCTCGAGGTTAAGAAGCACTATCCATGCTTTTAGACAACGGAATGGAGATTAGTTCTTGCTGTGTCTTGCCTGAAGTGGGCCTGGTGTTATCAAAAGGTCTGTTCTTTTAATGGCTTCTCAACCTCTTACATTTTGTGCAAGTGTAAGCTTTGGTGACTCCGTTCTTATATTTAAAAACTAGCAAAAGAGGATCAGTGTATCCATTTACATCCCTGTGAAAAAAAAAACAACATACAGAGACAGTTCCCAAGGGTGTGTGGACAGAGCAGCGTGGAATTGCCTCCTGTTTAACTTTCTGAAACAACGAGGTGTTCCAATGACAAAAGACCATTGACTGCTACTGGTGTGGGCGTTGGATTACTTACCGTAGCACGGAGGCAGGGCTGAAAGCATATTGATTACTGTGGGAAGAACCATAGGATAGGCTGTTACCACTTGGAAACTTTGTTTTGCCTGTTTTTGTACTCGCAGGATGTGCTTCATAAGAAGAAAGTAGATAGGCCCCTACTCGCAGCCTGGCCCAAAGTAGCACAGGCACCTTTCCAACTCACATGTTTGCTTCCTGCTATCTTCTGAGCTATTTCTGCAGGGAATCCCCCATCTAAGATGGGGTAAATAGAGTAGCTTGTAAGGAACATACTCCTTTAGAATGTAAAACTGTTGTACTCTTGCTCTTCACCTGATGTCAAACTCTGCTGTATTAACGATGCAGAGTGAACTGCCGTGACAGCAGCAGCACATTACGCTATTCAGTCACCAACCTCAGAAGTGCCAGGAAATATGCTGTGTGCGCACCTAGGTGACTGGTACTGACTGGGGATATCGCTGTGCCACGGTGTCCTGCTTTTAACTGCCTTTTAAGCGAGCTATTTTAACTCCCCTGTGAAACAGGCTTGTAGGAAAGTGCTACTTAATGGCGATTCCTTTTTTTTCCAGGGTTCTTGCTGCAGCCTTTGCTGGGAGCCTGGAGTGACAGATGCACATCGAGATTCGGGAGGAGACGACCTTTCATTCTGGTCTTAGCAGTAGGTGTGTCTTTAGAAACAATGGGCATAACACTTGCAAAGTAGGAACGTTGTGCATCTCTCTTCTGTGACATCCCCTGTGACTATAGGCTGAACAAAATGCCTCTGAAGTGTTGGGTATTGTGGATCTGAAGGAGGTGGTGGGTGGTGCCAAGGTAATGCTTTGGCAGCCAGAGATCCACACCTAAAAGCTTCTCTTGTCAGAGTCTGAGGAGATGATGCTTTGAGGGTCAATAATGTTTTTCTTTGGCCAAAACCAACTCCAGTCATTTGTAAGCTTGAACAGCAGAAAAGGTTTATGCATATACTATAAGCCATGCTCATTCCCCAGACTGTGATGGTCTGAACAATGCAGTAGTGCTTGCCGCAAGGCTCTGCAGGTAGTATAATGCTTTTAGAGGTGCAGATTTTTTTTTGCTTTTAAGTAGTTGATTGATTGATTATGATTTGGTTTTATTCCCAGGAGCACTGCTTGGGCTCTCGCTTATGCTGAACGGCAAAGATATAGGGACTGCCTTGTCTGACACTGCGAATAACCACAAATGGGGAATCATTCTTACGATCTGTGGTGTTGTCCTCATGGACTTCAGTGCAGATTCAGCAGACAATCCCAGTCATGCCTACATGATGGACGTATGCAGCCCAGTGGATCAAGACAGGGGCCTCAACATCCACGCTTTGTTAGCAGGTATGCTTTCTCAGTGCTTGCTGGGCGATGTGAACCATAAGGAAACAAGACCCGCTGTGAGAAAGCAGAGTGTAAATCTCTGGTCTTTTTCTTTATACGCATAATAACCAAACACCTGGAGAGGTAGCACTAATTAACTCTAAAATCAAACTTCTGCTTACTGCAAAAGGCTTTTGCAACTACCAGAAGTCAAATGAGGTGCAATCTTGGGTTGTTCATCTGAAGGTCCCTCATGTCATTTGTAGTACCTAGGGAAACAAAATTACTCCTTAAGGGAGGAGGCTTGGCTTCCTGCAGGTGTGAAAGATGCCTTTTTTAGTTTCTCTGTTGGAGGGGAAAACACATACTGGGCACTGTGATCCTTCATTGCTGTCGTCTTGAATTGCTCTACTGCCCTAGTCTAGTTTTCCTCTACATCAGGAGACACTTTCATGCTCTTGAATGTGTTTGTAAGAAGGAAAGGATAGTGTCGTAGGGCTTTCACAATGCAAATGGAGTGAGAGTGGTATCCGGTGCTCTCAGAATTTCCCTGTTCATCCGTAGTAATGCAGTGGCAGTTTTGTATACTGTCAACATGTTGCCGAGTAATGAGCTTGCTACACTTCTGAAGTGATTCGCTCTGTCTTGGACACAGTTAGATCTGCATTCCTCTAACTGAGTGAGGAAAATGGATTTTCACTTACTTTCAGGAAAACAGTCTTAGCTGACTGATTGCAGAGCCTTGCCACGAGGCTGGTGGACACTTCTGTTTTACGGACTGAAATAAAGGTAAAGTGGTTTGCTCTCTGCAAACAAAGAACTACCATTTTAAATTATTTGTATCATTGCTTTTACAGCACTGACCTTCTCCCTCTTTCTGTACCATGTTTGTACATCCAGACTGTCCTTGTGGTGCGGATAACTGTGTAATAACTGCATTTGAATTGAAAAGGAGTTGAGTAGTAAAACAGAAGTAACATGTCGGATTCTACTAATGAATCCTTAGACAAATGGTGCTGTGTTGTTACTGACGTCCAGGATTGGCTAGGGAAGGTAATCTCAGTTCTGTTTTTCCACCAGGTCTTGGAGGTGGCTTTGGTTATGTTGTTGGAGGAATACACTGGGATAAAACCAGTTTTGGAAAAGCTGTGGGAGGGCAGCTTCGCGTCATCTATGTCTTCACCTCAGTTATACTGACTATCACTACTGTGCTGACTCTGATTAGCATTCCAGAAAGACCCTTAAGGTCCTTTAGCAGGAAGAAAAAGGTGATGAAGAGTCCAAGTCTTCCTCTCCCTCCTTCTCCACCTCTCTTCTTTGAGGAGGGTGTAAATGAAAACGTTGCTTCTCATAACTCAGCTCACTTATATGCAAGTTTTACAAGTCCCGTTTCCCCCCTCAGCCCACTCACACCCAAATATGGCAGTTTTGTCAGTAGAGACAGTTCTTTGACAGGGATTAATGAGTTTGCATCATCATTTGGGACTTCAAATATTGACAGTGTGCTTATAGACTGTTTTACAGGCGGGCACAATAGTTACTTAGCACTGCCAGCTAGCTTGCCCAGGCAGCCTGTCAGTGTCAGCTTTCCTCGGGTGCCTGATGGCTGTTACCAAGGAGAAAATGGAGTTCCTGAGCAAGGGGAGAGCAGCACAACGCCGGGGCCTGATGGCGAGGCGCTAAGGGTGGGCTCGCTGGATGCGGTAAAGCCGCGGTCGTCAGGGATCCTGAAAAGACCTCAGACCTTGGCCATTCCAGATTCCGTAACAGGACACTGTCCAGAAAATAGCAGAAGAAGAAATGTAACCTTCAGTCAGCAGGTAAGAGCAGAAAATCAATTATAAGACCATGTAAACCTGAGCAGTCATTGAATTCATACAGTTTTAAATGTGTGGTGCACTAATTCACCCTTAAAGACAGCTGGTGACGCTTTACTCGTAAAAGTCATGGGAAGAGCATCCCTGCTATGTCTTTATCAGTAAAATAGCGGGTAAGATGTGAGTTATGACTGGCAATGTGTTAACTGCCCTTGTTAAGATGGCAGAAATGGGAGCATTCTGCTCTTGCTGGACCACATGTGAAAGTTAGGTTGGTATTTTTAACCCTGCTTCACAACCCATGGAGCTACCACGTGAGAGGAGAAAAAGACACATTTTTATTGAGCCTGTATCTTCCCTTTCCACAGAAATACCTGCAAGATAGGGCCAGGGATAGGAATCTCCCCTGAGCTTCTCCTTATGGCAGTCATTACATCTGGTTCCATGAGGGAAGTGAGGTTTCCCTTACCCAGGGATAAGACTCTGACTTAACCTCCCACTGTTGGTGATAATTTGGAATGTCTGAAACCTCTGTATGCTGGCCCATTTTTTAATGATCCGAGATGAGGTAAACCGTCCTCAGGTTTTTCTGTTTGGTTTGGGTTTTTTGGGAGGAGTGGGGGTGGTTTTGTGTTTTGTTTTGTTTGTTGCCATTGCTGTACTGTGACCCAGTTTGTGAGCGCAGACTTTGTTAGGGCCAGGGTTTTACGTGCAGTGCACGTAGAAATTGATCATCAAGGTTAGCAAGAAATGAGAATGTGTTTCATTTAAAACCAGCCTCTTCTTCCTTATGTCTCTCAGACTTCTGGAACCAAATACACCTGAATGTGTGTACAGCTCCCATTGAATGCAATGGAATTTATGCCTTCCCTGCGCTAGCATTTGGATGTGGTTGCCAAATACCCCCGAGAAGTGGAGAGTACTGTTGCAAGTATACTGAGAGCTGCAGCACAGTGCTGCCATTTAACGCCTGTTCCAAGGCTGAACTTACAGCTTGGCTGACTACACTGTTCTTAATCTCTAAGTCAACATACTGCAGCAGCAGTTTATCTTTCGGATGATCAGATAGGTGTTTTAATATTGCATAGGTTTGCTCAAAGGATTTTTGTTTTTTTTCTTACTGTGTTTGTTGACCTGGGAGTTCTTATGGTACAGGTTGCTAATATCTTGCTGAATGGTGTTAAATACGAGAGCGAGCTGAATGGATCAGGTGAGACCTCGGAGCAACCACTCTCTGTGAAACTTCTCTGTTCGACTATCTGCCGGATGCCCAAGGCTCTTCGTAACCTCTGCATCAACCACTTCCTAGGTATTTAGAAAGTGCCATCTTGCTTGAAACAGTCTACCTCAAGTGAATGTTTTAAAGTAATGTAGCTATTGCTGCAATGGCTGCTAACTAGAGAGGACATGACTTGTTCCATGTGCACTCACCAGTAAAGTATTTTCTGGTGTTTAGTTCCTTAGAAAGAGGAAGGGGGAAGGGGGGGGAAGAAAAAGCCCCAGCAGAGCAGTAAGGCCTGCAATCCTAGAAAGAGAATAACCACAGCCTGAATCAGCTTGTCCGTAAAATGGAATGTTTACACTGGGATGAGAAAAGCCAGTGAACCAAGAACTTGAAACTATTGACTTTTCTTTTTTTTTCTTTTTTTAATGCTCTGAAACTGGCATTACCGAGCAGAAAGACGGGATTAGTTGTATTTCCCTTATTACACCTGAGACCAGCATTCGCTTTCCTCCCTTTGACAGCATGCATACAGGGGTTCCAGAGCAGGCTGCAGGAGTGCCTGTGACCAGTGCACTGTTACCTTTACTTTTACCAGTGTGGGACTGACTGTTAGGAAGGGCTTGCAAGCAATCCAGTTCACACAAAATTGGACAGAAGGTAACGGGTAGTTAATGCTCATTGACTGAAAGGAACTAAGAGATTGCCTGCATCAGTGGCCCTGACGTCAGTTTGCAAATAGGAGTTTTTAACTGTGTCGGAGGCGCTCTAGAGGCTGCAGCTGTGACGCAAGAAGCGCTCCTTCCAGTTCTGTATGAGAGAACAACAGCAACATGAAACGATTGCATGATGAGCTGTTTTGTGAAACTCAGCCTTGTGCCTTGTCAAAACCTGAAGGCAGCTCGGACTGCTGTAATCTGTTTTTCTGTCTTGCTAATCCAATATTCTGTGACCTGCAGGTAGTCTCTAGGACTCCACTTAAGACTTCAAAGAATGAATCTTGGTCTTTAAAATCCTGCATGTCTTTGACAGACATTGTGGCATAATGTACGGGGAACAGCAATCTCAGATAAATGTGGCTGAACGTTATGCAACACTGACATTGCACAACCTGTCTTCAGTTGTGATTTGTAAAATAGCTAATAGCTTCCATGCAGGCTTACAGGGGGAAACAGATACTCTGCAATCCTAATAGGTTATTTCTGGCTTCTTTCAGGATGGCTTTCGTTCGAGGGGATGTTACTCTTCTATACCGACTTCATGGGAGAAGTAGTGTTTCAAGGGAATCCGAAAGCACCTCACAACTCAGATGAGTATCAGAAGTACAACGCAGGGGTCACGATGGGCTGCTGGGGAATGTGCATCTATGCATTCAGTGCTGCTTTCTATTCAGGTACTTTGTACAGCCGTCTCTGAGCCATTGCTGTGAGAAAGACACACCTGTTCCTCATGTGGTGTTTGTGCAACAAGTAGTCTGGGATTTATGTTGCACGTAACCTACCACATGGCATGATTACAGAAGCATAGTGTTCTTTTTCACTTTTTCACTTTTATCTCTTCTAGTTAGCTTGACCTGCACTGACTGCAGATGAAGTCAGCAGTCCAGTGAAAACACATCTCTGTTAGTATATAGTTCTTTCACAAGTAGCATTTTCAGCGTACACTAAATCCAGAAATACACACAGCCGCCGTAGGCGCAGTTATGGTGCAGCAGCACTTGGTGCCTGTATGCCCCTGGCAGAGCACCCTGGTGTCAAACACCACCCCAGCACGTCGTTGTGTGTCTGCTCTGTGTCCCCCCCCCCCGCCCAGTTGCCATTTACCCCTCCGGGACAGGGGGCATTGCCAGGATTCAGCTCTGCCATGCTCTCCACACAGGTAGGACACCAAGGCTATGCTGTGGCAGTGGAATTTGAAAGGGGTCCTTGGTGCTCATGTGAAAGACACCAGTTACACAAAGGCTGTTTAACATCTTTATCAATGATCTGGAT